CCCAGAGCCAAGCAGAAATTAATTTTGGAACAGTGTAATAAAGATACAGCCTATTGAAAGTATTGATGTTGTAAATAAGATTGGAGAGAAAGACAATTTACCTTTTTGGAAGAAAAAGAAAAGGTGTTTTTAAGTAGTCATTTAGAAAGAAAAAGGAATCTATTTTGTTTTGTTTTTAAATTTATTATCAGCATATTCATTCTTACAAATCGTGATGTTTCTTTATGCCCTTTGCCCGACCTATCACTTCCCAAGCCCCCTCGCCCCCCGCATCCCTCTCCAGCATCCTTAGGTTTGTTCTCTCCTTCTGAACGTTTAACGTATTGTTGTGGTCTTTTCTTTCTTTCTTTTCTTCCTCCCTCCCTCCCTCCCTCCTTTCTTTCCTTCCTAGCAGCCAGTTATGAGTGAGAACATGCTTTACTTTATTTGAGTAGGCAGTATGGGTATTTGAAAGTGGCTTCTAAAAAATAATTTGCAAACTCCTCTATAATCACTCTCCACAACTTAGGCTTGCTGGTTAGTTTAGAGCTGTGCTCTTCAATATAGTAGCCACTAGCTAAATGTGACTGCTGAGCATTTGAAAAGTGACTAGGACAAACTGAGTATATTATTCAGCTTGGGCTTCTATACCAAAATACTATACACTGGTATTTCCTGGCTAAACAACAGACAGTTATTTCTCACAGTTTTGGAGGCTGGAAGTCCATGACCAAGGATTCATTTCCTGGCGAGGGCCCCTTCCTGGCTTTCAGACAGCTGCCTTCTCATTGTGTGCTCACACAGTGGAGACAGAGAGAGGGCTCTGTCTTTCCTGGAAGTCCATGACCAAGGATTCATTTCCTGGCGAGGGCCCCTTCCTGGCTTTCAGACAGCCGCCTTCTCATTGTGTGCTCACACAGTGGAGACAGAGAGAGGGCTCTGTCTTTCCTCCTTTTCTTATAAGGACCCTAATCCCATTATGGGGGTCCTACCTCATAACCTCATTTAAACCTAATTACTTCCCAAAGGCTCCACCTCCAAATAGCATCGCATTGGGGGGTAGGGCTTCAAAATATGGATTTGGGGAGACACAAACATTATCCATAACACTGAGAGTCCTATATGTGAGAAACATACACTGGATCTTGAGTACTTTCTTTGAGAAAAAGAATGTAAAATAGCTCATTAATTATTTTTATATTGATTACATGTTGGAATGAAACTATTTTGGATCTACTGGGTTAAGTAAAGTATATTATTAATTTTCCACCTGTTCCTTTTTTACATTTAAAAATATGGCTACTACAATGGCTTGCATTTTATGTCTATTGGACTGCACCACTCAGTTGGATAGAGTGACAGTGTTGGGTACATTTAAAGTACTGCCAGACCTGGGTTTGCCCTTAAAGGAAAGGAAAGTGTGGCTGTGGATGAAGGTCACCCGATTTGGCTATGGTGACATTATTCATTCTAGTCATACCCAGATTTCCAAGTTCTTACTGACTATTGTGCATCCAAAATAATAATCACGTTGGGGGAAATGCTGTGATTGGTCCATCTAACAACAAGCCATCCTACAAGAGAAGCCTGGGGCTGCCAAGGGTGACTCATTGGTGGGACTTTCTTCCCTTCTCTCTAAATCTTCCCCATTATCGAGCTGCTCTGACCCACGTTGCAGAATCATCACATTCTCTTTTTCTCTGAAATAGGCAAAAAACCTCTTCTATCTACTCACTCTCATGCATTCAAACTCTTAGCATTTCCTTGTCAAATTATCTGTCCTAGATCTACCCTCTGTCTTAAACAGCTTCTAGTTCTGATGGTAATGCTCATGCATCTGCATGGATTATACTAATGTTATGCTCCCTTCAGCAGCCTTCCTTACTGTACCTGTCAGAATCCATGCTCTCACTTTTGTCTTTTGCCAACGCCGTCAGCTAAGTGCCAGCACCTCCTTCTGGCTCGGCTGCATTCTGTAACTCTGATGACAGGTAAACAGAGTCGCTCGTGTGAGCAGCATTCCAGGTGAGGAAACTGCACACGAGGACTAGCCGAAAGCCGGGTTCTGAATGCAACACTGGGAAGTCCATTTAGTTTTTTCTGTGCCCGACTTTCTGCTTCCTTCTGGATACAGAATAGAAAAAATATGAAATTTCAGATTGAAATTTCTAGTTGACACCCAGCTGGTACCTAGAATGTTCTTTTAAAAAACTCATTCAGTGACATATCGTTATACAGCATGAAGACGCCGGGCTCCGATCTTCTGAAACTGTGGAAAGTCTTCTATTATCTGGAATTAGGAAGGCTTCCATTGACTTCACCAGGAAAGATTTGATTGAGTCATGAAGGCATCTCTGGGCCTGCTGTGGGCAATAAAAATACCAGTTGGGAACCATTCTACCCCTTCTGAAAGGATCACTTTTCTTTGAATAGTGCCATCAGGAGTCCCAGTGTTTAGCTATTCTCTGTTTAGCTACTCACTGTAGTTTTCTTTTTTGTTGTATCTTTGTCTGGCTTTGGTTTCAGGGTGATACTGGCCTCATAGAATGGGTTTGGGAGAATGGCCCGTTTCTGTTTTCCTGAATAGTCTGAAGAGAATTGGTATTAAATCCTCTTTAAAGGTTTGGTAGAACTCAGCAGTAAAGCCATCCAGCCCTGGGCTTTCCTTTGTTGGGAGACTGCTGATCACTGCTTCAATCTTGTTGCTTGTTATTGGTCTGTTCAGGTTTTCTCTTTCTTCTGGGTTCAGTCTTGGTAGTTTGTGTGTGTCCAGAAACGTATCCATTTCCTCCAGGTTTTTAAAAGTATTGGCATATTGTTGTTTATAATAGTCTTTAATGATTCTTTGTATTTCTGTGGTATCAGTAGTAATGTCTCCTTTTTCATTTCTGATTTTTGTTATTTGGGTCTTCTCTCTTTTTTTTTAGTCAGCCTAGCTAATGGTTTGTCGATTTTGATTATCTTTTCAAAAAACTGACTTTTTGATTCATTGATCTTTTGTATTATTTTTTGGGTCTCTGTCTAATTTAGTTCTGCTCTGGTCTTAATTATTTCTTTCCATCTACTAATTTAGGGATTGGATTATTTTTGTTTTTCTAGTTCTTTGAGGTATAACATTAGGTCCTTTATTTGAAATATTTCTGTTCTTTTGATGTAAACGTTTATTGCAATAAACTTCCCTGTTAGTACTGCTTTTGCAGTATCCCATAGGTTTTGGTATGATGTATCTTTATTTTCATTAGTTTCAAGGAATTTTTTGATTTCCTAATTTATTTCTTCTTGGGCTCATAGGTTTTAGGAGCATGTTGTTTAATTTCTATGTACTTGCATAGTTTCCAGAGTTTCACTTGTTATTAATTTGTAGTTTTAATCTGTTGTGGTCTGAAAAGATACTTGAAATGATTTCAATTTTTTAAATTTGTTGAGACTTGATTTGTGACCTAAAATGTGGTCTATTCTGGAGAATGTTACATGCCTACACTCTTGTTTTGCATCTTGTTTTAATTATAACAAAACAAAACAACAGACATCTGTCTCTCATTGTGAGAATTAACCTCCTATTCAATTTTCCTTAACAAACCTACATATATGATAACTATTTCTCAAAAACAGCCCAATGTTTAGATGTCATTAAGAATATCTGCTGCCTTCTCAACTTCAAGTTATATAACAAAGTTTTCTATATCTCAGTTTTGGGATGAATCAAACCCAATTATCTCTTCCCAATTTTAGAGTTTTCCTCCTTTTTCAGCAAGCAGGGGGAAAGGCAGTATCTTACAAAAAAAATTATAGTCTGCATAATCTTAACCTGAAGTATGTGTTCATCAAGATCCTCTGAAGTTGTAAGT